AAGTCCTCATGCTTACACACAGCATGCACTCCACCCCGTAAGCTGAGTTTCCAGCCCCACTTGACCCAGAGACTTTGAAGATGTCTGAGTTTCATGAGCCAATGCTGGGAACGTTTCTCTAAATAAGCACTTTCCATAGTGAAAGCAGATACCACTGGGCTGAAAAGATGTCTCAGATGGTTAAGAGCACTGGCTATTCTTCGAGAGGTCCTGAGTTCAATTCCCAACAAACACATGGTGGCTCACAACCATCTGTAGTGATATCTGATGCCCTCTTCTGGCATGAGTCACACACACACAGGCAGAACACTGTATATATAATAAATAAATAAATCTTAAAAGAAAAGAAAAGAAAGCAGATACCCTTCCCTATCAAAGTGATTACATTTCTCTTCTTGTTCCCTTATTGTGGACAACCTCTACCTTCTAAGGTGGTTGAAATGCCGGTCCACCTGCCAAATGTATCTCCATGTCATATGAGCATGATTAACTGAAGTGGGGTGCTGTGACATATTAGGGTTGTGGAAGTCATCAGTTTTGGCATCATGAGACCCTCAGCCTGGTCCAGAGAACTATCAGCATTTAATGATTGCTTCCCCATTCCTACACGTAGATTTGGTCGTCCAGAGGAATTCAGCTATCCTAATTTGTGTTTGGAATCCTCATTCTTCTGTTGTTTAAAGGTGTCATTGAATAATTATCCTCATATGAGACTTTAGCTTGAATGTCATGAATAAATGTTTCTGTTAGAATGTTCAGTTGACATCTTATGCATCCTGGGAAATTTATGTAAGAAACTAGAGATAAAAAGATCCAAATACATGGTAGGAGTTATAATGGGCCAGCGGTTCTGAATGGCCGGGAGAATGACTTGTGATTTCCACCCACTCTTCTGAAAACACATCTTGAATCTGGCCCCAGGCTGACACAGATCATGTGAGATTCATGACTTGGAGTATAAAGAAAAAAAAAGTGTGATTGAAATAATGTATGGAAAATAGGTTCAAAAAATTAAAAAGAACTGTTTCCCGTAATACACACCTTTAAATTTTTTACTTTCAATATTTTAGCATGTTTTTAAATATTATTTTTGTTGGATCCTCAGTGCCTTGACAACTATTACAAACTATACATGAAGTGGTGCCATCCTTGGGCTTGCAGTCTTAGGTTCTATAAAAAAGCAGGCTGAGCAAGACATGTGGAGCATGTAAGCAAGTAAGCAGCACTCCTCCATGGCCTCTGCATCAGCTCCTGCATTCAGGTTCCAGCCCTGTTTGAGTTCCTGTCCTGACTTCCTCCAGTGGTGGACTATGATCTGGAAGTGTAAGCCAAACAAACCCTTTCTTCCCCAAGTTGCTTTGGTTGTGGTATTTCATCACAGTAATAGTGGCCCTAACTAAGACAATATATATCATGTCGTGGCTTTAAGTCTCCATATATAGCAGAAAGGAAAAGAAGGAGGAAAGGGGAGGGAGGAAGGGAAGGAAAGGGGAGGGAAGGGTAATGGGAAAAAACAGGAAAGTGTACCCAACTTTGCTTATGGAAAGACTGAGCAATATCCTCAAGATGACCAGGCCTCGACATAGCATATGACAAGGAAAATAGAACACACGGTAGAAAACTGAGAATGGTTGTATAGCATAGGAGAGGGGAATAGCATCTTTGACACGTGGTGAATGAAATGAAAGAACTAAGGCGCTTTAGATGGTTTGTCTATTGGAAGGCCTTGAGTCTCAAGGTCCTGGGCTTGCTTTCTCAGTGATTGTGAGAAATTAATGATGATCTGTGAAATATGAAAGAATTTTATAGACAGATGCATTTGAGAATTGCTGCCAATTATTTGTGGAAATTCATAATATATAGAAAAAGTCTTGTAACAAAATTAATAGGTAAATAAAGTAATGTCTTTAATTTTGTATAGTAAGTATTTTGAAATTATCATTCATTCCCTGCAGAATGCCAATGAATATCTGTAACAACGTATTTCAGGAAATATGCTAAAGACACAAATATTATGAAATATATACCACCATGAAGTAAGTTATCTTATGTGTTCAGAAGACTCTAGAGGAGGGGTAGTGTGGCCTGGTGAGCTGGGGAGAGGTTAGAAAGTTTGGAGTTAGTAAAACAGACTGAGGAGAAGTTGGTATGTTTTGAAACTCTTTGAAAGCATACATGTTGTGCTTTGTGATCATAATTCATAAAAAGTATGGGGCTTAAGAATGAATATTTGTGCTGTACAGAATTTGGCTGAGCAAAATCATGGAGACTCATGATTTTGAGGCTAGCCTGAGATTCATAGAAATTCTAGACTGCACAGGGAGACTTTGTCCCAACAGATAAAGAAAGAAAAAAAAAGAAAGAAAAGAAAGAAAGAAAGAAGGAAGAGGAGGGAAGGAGAAAAAGCTATCTTATAAGTTTGCCTTATTTCAACACACCATAAATATGAAAAGCCAGCATGATTCTTGGGCATGTCCCAACTGCTTCCTATCCTATTTACATAGTGCTGAGAAGTCCCAAGAGGAAGAAAAATGAGTTGGAAGTTACCCAGTGGGTATAGCACTGGAAGTTACAAATCCTTAGTGTTCAAAATTCCAGAGACAAATTCGAAACAGCCAACAAGGCTTGGCAATTACAGATTCCATGCATTCTTAGAAATTGCATGCTATGCTATCCAAGGTGCTGAACCAAGTTCTGCAGCTACTGACTGTCCTAGTTTCAATTTCTTTGTTGTTGTGATAAAATACCTGAATAGAAAGCAGCTTAGGAAGGAACAGGTTTACTTTAGCTCACAATTACATGTTATAGTCCTTTGTATGTGGAAGTCAACGTGGTAAGGGCTGAAAGTAGTTATTTGCATCACACCCATAGTCAAAAACGGGGAGAAATGCATAAGTGCATGTGTATTTGCTTGTGCTCACCTCCACTTCTCCACTCTCATACAATCAGGATGCCCTGCCTAGGGAATGGCACCACTCACAGTGGGCTGGGACTTCTTAAGTAAATTAACCTAATCAAGATAATCCTTCATACATACAGGCACAGGCCAACTCCATGTAGATACTCCATCATTGAGACTTTCCCCAGATGACTCTAGATTGTGTCAAGTAAAAAAAATCTACTTTGTACTGAGTTGGCTTGTTGCTATTTGATCTTCTGGTTGTGCCAAACTCAGCATTCTCACCAAAGTACACCCTTGTCTGAGACAAAACAAAATGCCACCTGCACCTGCTTAGTGCACTGGCTGCCTGCAGTGCCAGGTCTAGCTGATATGATGTATGATCAAGATTCTCCTGCTTCCTTATTAGGGTTCTTGGCAGATTAGCCATAAGATTCAAGATCTCTATAAAATATACTGATGGTAAGTAAATATTTCTTGCAGAAATAAAATTGACTGCCCAAGGGAACAGTCTGTGAATGGCCACTAATCTGGACAAACTAATTTTCAAAATTTAATTTCAGCACACCTATGTTTCAGGACCCTGGAGTTTAGCCTTGGCAGGAAGCTTCTATTTGCCAGTGGCCTATATGAAACTCAGCTGGGTGAGATGCCTGTTCTCGCCCCCAGGAACTCAAGATTCTGTGAACAAAGAAAACACACATTTCCAAATACTGTGCAGTAGTAGAAAATTTCTAGTAGAAAATAAGTTAAAGGCTGAAGAGAATTTTTAGCATGCTGTAGGGATGGGGGAGATATTCATGGAAAGCTCCACGGAGATAATGAAAGAAAGACTAGCCCTTGGTTATCAGGCAGATTTCAAACACACAGAAAGAAAGACGGTGTGCCTGATGTCATCATGGGAGTAAAGTGTCTTTGTCATCAGAGATAGCAAATACCTGGTTCTGCCGAGAGTCCAATCACCTTCCATGTTTCATTCTCTGCATATCAGTTTACATATAATACCACCAGCCACATACCTTTTCCTATGCTTGTTGGAGGACTTTTCTCAAACAAAAGGAAGACACATTTTTCCCCAAGTGTACTGTTATTTGGAGGACAGCACAATAGCCTCCCCCAAGTACTTGCATGCTTATTTTAGAGAGAACTTCAAGGTTGAAGGAGGCTACTATGCCTTTTATTCCTCAAATCAGACCACTGACACCATTAGCAGCTGCAGAGTGGTCAATGAAGTGTGTCCCTCTCTGTGAAACAAAACCAGTTGTGGGGCAAATAAGGAGAACCTAAAAGTGACCAGAAAAGGGAGGTAGAGAGGAAGAGGCATCCAGAAGCATGAGGTTTGCAGATAAAACACCTCATGGGGTTTTGAGAACGGTCCACTTAAGAAACTGAGTCTTAAATTCTGAGATTTATCTAGAATCCTACACAGCATAATTTCAAAGGACAGTGTCTGGAGGAGGCATTTTACAGAACCCATTTCCAGGAATTGCTGCATTTCCAGATCGCTGGGAATGAGGAGGCAGGAGAAGGTCCACAGCAGGGAAAAACAGCCTCTCCAGACTGAATGTAACCAGGAAGGAATAGGTCTCACTTCTGAAGATCAACTGTGGGGAGATGCAGTGTGCTAGCCCTCTGTTTACTGTGCCAGATGAGTGGGACTCTTTACTGGTTTCCACCTGGACTTGGGCATGGGATCAATGTATCTAATGAATACAGTTCAAATAAGTTCACTAACATTATTTAGCTGTATTGGTCTTAACAGGCTCACATATACTTTATTCCCTGCACCCCCTGAGTCTCAGAACTTATTGAAGCAGACAAACACACACATATATACACATTCATATACCCCCAAACCTTCTCTCTTGTTTAGCTTTTTTTCCCCAGCCTTTGCCCGTTTATGATTTAACCATTTATCAATTTACAGAAAAGTAGTCATCTCTGCTTCTTTCATGCCCCAAATCAACCTTTCCACAGGAAAGGCTGTCATGGAAGGTCCCTCTTGGATATTCAAATCATTGAGCACACATGCAATTAGGTCTCTGGCTTTAGAAGTGCAGAAATTAAGAGTGACCCTCTGGGAAAGTGTCAGTGCCAAAGAGTTAAAAGAACCATTTTATTGCTTCTGTTGTGTGGAAAAAAATGAATTTATACAGAGGAGTTTTTTTTCTCCCACCCATTTTGGCCAAATTCTGAAATGCTACTGCATTCAAAGGAGTGAAAGAGCATTTGCTGGAGTTTCTTAGCATCCTTGGGCAAGCAGCTTTGCTATATCTCTAAGTACCAGTCTTGATTCTCTTCCTCTTCTTTTCTTAAAAAAATAATGAAGGTTCTTGTTGAAATGGATATGAGACCAGTGAATCCAAAAGCAGGCCCCTTGGGGAATTACTTGCCATGTTGAAAGAAACCATGAAGGGAGGAAAGAAGAGCAGCTGGCATGACGTAATTTCCTCCCAGCAGGATGAGCAGACTTCCATGCTGTACCACCCATTTCACCCTTGCATCATACAAAAGCATGATTTTAAATTATGTATGTACCAAACTTTAATTTTCATTTCACACTCAAAAGTTCTGTACAAAAAGAGGCAATGCAGGCAAAAAAAAAAAAAATACAATGACTTCAGCAAACAACATACAACTGCTTCAAAGCCCCTTCTAATGTGCAACCATCTTTACAGGTGTACTATGACAATGGAGTTCTGAAGGTTGGGGCTGGCAAAGATAAAGTCCCCGTGTTAGTTATTAATATCTAGACCACTTGAGAGATGCCTAGGCTATAAGACTGAATAAGAAGCCTGAACTCTATTGCAACTGGATCTCTAGATTGTGTAGGCTTTATCTTGCTCTTGAAGAAGTATGACATTTGGACTTAATTGTGATGATGTTTCAAAAACTTAGGCTTGCCATTCATGTTTGGCAAAATGGTAATAACTAAGAATATATGTGTATGTTGATGAGGAACATACTAACTAAATATTAAAAGACACCCAACAGCTTCTTCATAGTTGTTATCTAACATTCTGGCTCTATTGTGTCATCACAAGTAAAAATATCTATTTCCACCAAACTTTTGCTATGAAAGCCTAGGTGAACATGACAGGAATTACCATGCCAAAGTAGCAATATATCTGGGAAACATCATTTTTTTCCTTCTTTCTTGCTTCAAATTAAATATCTGAGTCATATAAAACACTTTTTTTTTGAAAACTATGAGACATCAATTATGAAGTATTGTTAACAATGACACTTTCGCTAGTACTTTTCCTCCAAATTACCTATGAGTGTTGGATACATGTGCATGCAGCACAAAAACAAAACAAAACAAAAAAACAAACAAACAAACAAAAAACAAAGAAAAAGAGAAAAGAGAAAGAAAAAAAACCAAATTGTTTGAGGATTCCTGATGCCCAGTGGACAGTCTGTTAAGACAATTGGTCTCCCACAACAGTTCTGGAGTGGACTCAAGGCCCATTCCCTGTTAGTGATCACAGACACTCAGCCTGTCCCCCCCCCTCCCCGATGACCTGAGGCTTCTCAAAATCCGAGTCCTGTGGAGTCTCATCTTGGAGACAATGGACTGGCTAGACTGAAGCAGACTGACAGCACCCATACACACATTTGGTCCCACTGAATAGAAAGTCTAACTAAAAGTTACAAACGTCCTCAACTATTTATATATAATCTGACAGATAATTCCTAATGTTTTCTTATGTAGCCAGTTGAGAGGCAGCTATGGTGTAGATACGTGGCTTGGGTTCATGGCTCAGGTCTGTGTCTAAGAGCCCAATAGAAACTGGACAGTCCCTTCTTTGAAATCTTAATCTCCTCTGCTGAGGAAAGGGCAAATGGACAAATGCTTATAAATATTGTGCATCTCTGCTCTTGTAGGCTTGAGAGTTGCCCAACTAATCATTGCCTATGGTTGCCAAAAAGACCATCCCTAACACTCAACATTGGAGAATGTCTCACCCCCGCATGATTACATTTTCTGGCTTTCTCTGAATTTTGGAATTCCTAGGCTTGACAAGGTCACAGAAGCCATCTGGTATAATTCTGTCCTGTTGAGAATGCCTGTATCAGTCAAGTGGCTGTACTTACTCTTTTAGGAAAGCTCGAAGGGACAAGGCCTTTCCCCGATCTGTTGACTACACTGACATATAAACTGGGAAACTGGCTCTCCCATTTGTCTGCGTTTCTTTGTTGAAATAAACCACTAACCTCTTTGTTGGAGGACTGAAAGGAATGTTGGATGGCCACCCCAGTCTGGAAATGTTGATATTTCACAGCACTTTTCTTGGAATGTTGCAAACCAAATGATGCCACATCCTGATCATTCTAGAGCTGTCTTCCAGGATTATCATTCATCAGTTGTCTGGAAAATTCTCTCCTTCTATCAAAGATATGCAAGCAATAACACAGGCTAGACTCGGGATTTCTCTACAAGGGTCCATACGCTCTGCCTTACATAGTAATAGGTCACATGGCAAAGAGGAAAGAGTACAGAGTTAGGTGGGTAATGCCGCGGGATCTAGTCCTATGTAGGAGTCATCTTGTATGCCCGTATCTTTCCAGGTCAGAATAGATACCAAGATTCCAACCTAACTCAGCTCTAACCTATAAGCAGAATGACTGCAGGACTAGTGATAATGATAATCATCATGATGAGTGCAACAATACTCTGGAATTTATGCAGCAAGGAAGGTTGGTTGGGTGGCTCCTACTAGCCTGCCAGGACTCTTAAAAATATTTATTTTATTTTATTTTATTTTATTTTATTTTATTTTATTTTATTTTATTTTATTTTATTTTATTTTATGTGTATAAGTGTTTCTCCTGCCTGTATGTAATTCCACTATGTGCATGCCTGGTGTCCACAGAGATCAGAAGAGGGTATCATGTGCCCTGGAACTGGAGTAACGGAGAGTTTTGTGAGCCACCATGTAGGTGCTAGGAATCGAACCCAGGTCTTCCACAACAGCAACAAGTACTCTTGATAACTAAGCCATCTCTTCAGCCCCAAGACTCTATATTTTATATTTGAGGAATGTGAGACTAAAAGTGAATTTGCCAGAGTACTCAGACTGGTGGGGGTTGACATCAGGTAATCAGCATAGGTTTCTTCTCTCAAAATTCCTCCAGTTTTCCAGTAATTAGCAAAGTGCTTTTGCTCTCAGTTCTGATAAGAACAGTCCATTTTGATAGAGAAGGGGGGGCTTCCTTATCAGGAGGGGTGGAGTACCTAAAACTCTGCAGACTCCTGGGGAGGTGAGTGGTCTTATTTGTGATCTCACAACCAGACCCATTTATCTGTCCCTGCAGGCACAGGGATACAGATATTACTGTCCTAATGCCAACTCTCTCTCAAATACTCTTAAGATAGCTACTTTCCTCAGTCCTCCTGCAAGAAACCCTCTATCTATTCCATTGCCTCCTCATTAGCTGATTAACACACAGGCCATTTTCCTCTTTCAAAAACTAAAAGGGAACAAAAGCGACACAATCGGAGACAGAAGGTGAATATTCAGATTAATAAAACACGTGCATACAGAAAAGCTGCACGTGGGGTTTGCAGGCGGAAGGCAGAGAGGGGTGTGCTGAACTCAGAACACGTGTGCTCCACTCTCCTCATGCAGTTTTCTTATCTTGGATTCCTCTCTCTCTCTCTCTCTCTCTCTCTCCCTCTCCTCTTTGTCGGGGTAACAGATGTGTCTGTTTCTTGTATCTGAGCCGACACAGGAAATCAAGTATTTTTTGTTTCTATCAACTATACTCCCAGAGAGATAATACATCTAGAATTAAAACAATACCACAAGCTATTAAGAATTTCTGATTGTTACAGGCATCATTACAGGACTCCAGCAGCCAACAGCCATGTTTCCAAATTTGGCCTTTTGGAGAAAGGAGTTTCATGTCAGACATCAAAGGTAAGGCTCTCAAGTCAATTTATGCTCTGCTGGGTTCAATCAGCTAAGATACAAATTAAGGTCCATATATTTCAGTGACAAGAAGGAAATGGTTATGTAAATACACAAGTATTAACATCAATCTGTATTAAATTATGTAAACATATACATCTTCTGAGGTCAGCACACAGATCCTCTTCTCCGAGCAGGGCTCTACTGAAGCATTGCTCGAATCTGTTTGGAAGTTGATTCATCATTCAAGTGCTTTGTAGTGAACCTGAATGGGGAAAGAGAGTTGGATGTCAGGGCTCGCCCAACTGAAATTTGTAAATAAGAAACACAGGCTCCTTTCTTTACACAAAGACCTATCTTTTGGTGTTTATCCCATATAGTCTCTGCAAGTTTATTTTTTATTTGACTTTGACTGGGGTTTTGCTCTATATTCCAGGTTGACCTTGCCCTCACCCCATAACCCATGTTAGCCTCAAACACATGGCAATCCTCCTGTCTCAGCCTCCCTCCTGCTAAGATTAACAGGCACACACCACAATGCCAAGCTTCTTAGGCAGCCATGATATTTGATATTTTTGTGTGTGGTAATCACTAAACAAGTCTTTTTTTAAAACCTCATTAAAGGATTACACAGAAGAGACAAAACTGATCTCATTTTCAAAGAGACAGAGTTCACAGCACTTAGTTCAGCATCTTGTCCATTGAGGCTAACCAAGCTGAGTTACAGAATTCATATGGTATTCTAAAATTTAAATGTTGATAACTGTCTAGTATAGGGGCTGTGCTTATCCCCATTGCCACCACCAGGGGTCACAAATGGAGGTACAAGAACAAAGGTACAATCTTAAAAAAAAAAAAAGGTCTCATTCATTACTGACTCTTGTGTGCAAAGGAATGTGAAAAAAAAAAAAACTGACCTACAACAAAACAAGGGCTCTGTGTAAGATCCCATTCCAGTCACAAATAACTCTTCAAATGAGGGAAGTACTTGATTTCACAGGTGAGAAAGCCGAGGGTCAAAAACATTCAGTGGCCCACTCTGAATCGTGCAGCAGATGGTTTTGATTTGTGAACAATCTGTGACTTTTGACTTGAGCCTATGTCTGGCTGCCTGGAAAGCCTACACTCTTCCCACTTCATCATGTGTCTCCAGGAAATACAAATTCCCACACAGGGATGGGATTCATGGTTTGACACAATGCCCTGATCTCCAGGATGTTTTGGCAGCTAGAATGAAACTGGAAAGTTCCAGAAATTCAGAAGCTAAAGTCTTCTTAATAAATATAAAAGGCCAGCCTGGCATGCTTACAGTCTTCTTTGGGGAAAACCTAGGAGGAGGCTCTTATGGTAATAATACACATATTCTCAAAGATGTTGGAAACTCAGAAAAACAGTAACTTTGGTGTCTTGAGACTACTAGTTTTTTCATCCGTTGATGATCAGCCTTGGGTCTATGGTTTGCAATGGTTGCATGCGACAAAGCAATAGAGGTAGAGCATTCCATGCAGAAATGAGTTCTACCTCATTTCTCTCAGACTTACTCATTTTACTGCATGTACTGCATTGCAGGGAACTGACGGGATTGAAAGGCTAAGACATCAGGGTCCTTAAATCTTCCTGATTGAAATCCTGCATAGGGATGCTCTGTGTAGTTCAGCAAATTCCTTTGAATGTAGCACGGTTAAAAATAACAATCTCCTCCCTGAAGTGGATTAAGCAAATGTATCCTTGGGAAAAGTGAAAGATGCCTAAGGGGGTGGAAACAAGCTACAGCTGGCTAAATGCTCAGGCATCCAGCAGTGAATAACAGGTTCTCAGTTCTGGCAGCTGCATGGGAGCCCCTTGGGGAGCTGGGACCAAGCACACACACACACACACACACACACACACACACACACACACGGGAGATGCTTGGGCTTCCAGGGCAGGGGCTTAATTTACTTGGCCTGACACCCCAGTGCCTGGAAACTCCCCTCTTCTCCTTCCCATGCAGCCAGGGTGAAGACAGACATGAGAACTAGATACTCTCATTTTTAGGAGACTCCACTACTAACAGAGCGCCATGGCCAAGAACCTCACCTAAGCCCTGTGGAGCCACCCAGGCCCAGGAATAGTCTTAACATGGCCCTTTACTACATGGCATTGAAAAGTTATTTGAGCTCACATAGTCAGGTATGGTGGCTCACACCTTTAATTCTAACACTCAGGAGGCAGAGTCAGGCAGATCCCTGAGTTCAAGGCCAGCTAAGACTACAGAGCAAGTTCCAGCATGGTCAGGGCTACAGAGTGAAACCCTGGCTTGAAAACAAAACAAAAAAAAAAATACCTCAATTTTTCCCATCTGTAGAAAGTGGATGATAAAAATGATGCTGACCTCCCAGCAGTGCTAAGAAGATGAATTGTGTCAAAACAAGTGAAGGGCTAAGAGACTGGTAGACTGGTGCTCAGACCCTTGGCCCTCAACAGCATCCACATCCGCAATGGTCTGAGAGGGCCCCTGATCTATCAACCTAACCCAGAGAGAGGCTCACCTGAGAGCATTCAGCAGCCCTTCCACACTGTCTGGGGCCTGCTCCTTCAACACCTTTATGCAGCCTTTCATCTGGAAGAAGAAAGTACAGTATTTTGTTACAATCCTGGTAAACCTGTCCATAGTGATGTCTGTCCATCCTAACGGCTCTCCAGAGCAGTGGCACATGGAGGCCACGAACAAACCTCTCTACCCTCTCTGGATGGTGCATCGTTCCTTCAGGTTTGTTAGGAGGTCTTTATGATTGCCGTGTCTCTACTGATTTTCATCCTGTGCCACAAGCGTACATCTCACTTACTTTGAGGAGAAACATACTATGGAGCCCAGACCAGAAGTAGAAATCACTTTCCTTGGTTCTCGGTTCAGATTCACTAAGTGTTTTTTTTTTTTTTTTTTTTTTTTTTTTTTTTTACACATTCAGTAGTTTTGTCTGCTAAGAATGCTCCTCCTCTTTGAGCTGTTGACTGTCACACCCTTAATGTTTTGTAAAGTCTCAAGTTCACCAGCCCTAGGAAATGTGTGTGTGTGTGTGTGTGTGTGTGTGTGTATGTGTGGCGTGTGTCTGTGTACAGGTACATTTGTGTGGCATCCATGTGCAGGTCAGGGGACAAGCTCAGCTCTTATTCCTAAGGCACTGTTCACCTAATTTTTGAGACAGGGTCTCTTTGGCCTGGAGCTTGCTGGGTAGGCTCGGCTGGCTGATGAACAAGCCCTAGGGATCTGCCCTTCTCCACTCCTCAGGGCTGGGAATGTAAGCACAGCAAAAATATATGACTTTCTTAAAAAAAAAAAAAAAAAAAAAAGGCTTCTGGGGACAAACTCGTCTACTGCTTCCAAAGTCAACACTAAACAGACTGCTATCACTGTGGCCTCTTTTCATCCCAGTTATCCATACCATAGATAGTCATGACCACTTATTTGTGAGCCCAACATGGCTTTGTATTCCTTAGAGGACTCTGGGTAGGTTAGCCTCTAAGTCTGTCTGTCTTACTTGACCAGTAACCCCTAGAAGTGCAGGCCTGTGTCTTACCTGTCTCTGAGAAGACTGGTAAAAGGAAACTGTAAAGAATGGGAATGTTACAGGGGTCAAATGCCTAGTTTTTATTCATGCTGCTTTGTATTAGCATGAAGTTCCACAAGTTTCTAAGTTTTCTGAGGTCTTGGAATTAAAGTTATCTAATTCTACCATGAAAATTAAAATTTACATAGATCCTGTCATTTTATGCATATCCTAGAGTGTTTTGCTTATCCTTTGGAACAGCAAAGTTCTTTCTATAAAAAAAGTCACTTATTTTAATCTTAGATATTCACACAAAGTGTGGGGACATCTGATGAGTTTGGTTATACCAACAGCTACTTGCAGAGTGCCAACTTCTCTACATCTACTAATATGTCACACTTCTAATATGAAAAAGTCCTATGGTAATAGCTTGACAGACACAGCCAGTTGCTGAAGGTAGCCAGGACTGAGAAGCATTTGGGGGTCATAGAAGAATGAATGTCATGATCAACTACACATGTCTATCAGAGATTCAAATTTAGAGAGAGGCTACAAGTATGCCAGTTATGTGCCATGCTAGGTTTGTGATGGCAGAAGGCCCGGCGATGCAGAGAAATTTGTCCCTCTTCCATTAGAGCTGGGGGTCCAGTGGGAGGAGAGAGACAGGTAGCTCATTATCACAGTGCACTGAGTGTTCGTGTGACGACATCCCAAGGGGCAGTGAGAGCACAGATGCAGAAGGAGGTGGAAGTGCAGTGGGTACTCTTGAGGAGTGCCTAATTCTATTTCAGGATGATTAAAACCGTGGGTGTGAATAACAAGAAACTGTCAGAAATGCATTCAGGGCCAGAGCCAGTGTGGGTTTAGCCACACAGTAGGCACTTGGAGGCTTTTCCTTATAGAAAATACCCTTGGCAGGTGTTAAGCACTGTGTAAATATAGCACAGGAGTATAGAAAAGGACTAGAGGAAGCAAGGACAGAAGAGGACCAGTGGAAAACCCTCAGAGTGTGAGGGGTGGAGGTAGCAGTGAGATGAAACACAGGGGTGAGGATGGAGAGTCAGTGCCCGATGAGGAAGGGGGGCACAGACAATTCCTAGGGTCTCAGGGCGACTGCACTGTGTTTCTGCTAGCTTAGGTACTCAATGAGAGAATGGGACAACATCTGACATAGGGTTCAGGAGGGAAAGCGCACCTGTCGTTCAAGACTCACCACATTTCATGTGTCCATAACAAGCGTGGTCTGGAATTATGCACAAGATTTTGGCTGGGGACAGAAGTTAAGGTGTGACTCTGTATGGAGCCTCTTGCTAAGATTCTGTGGGAATCACTTGAGAACACTGCTTCATCCACTCACACCTTTCCTGCTACCCAGATTGCCACCTGGCCTCTAAACAGCTCATTTTTCTCTGTTTCTTGGTGATTTTGCTCTGATTCTTCTTTTCCTCTGTCCATCAAAAAAAAAGCCTTGATGGACTACTTCAAATACCACCTCCCACGCCATTGCCTCTAAGTAGACTACTCTCTCCCTCAACTGGGTTTCTAGAGCTCTCTGCATGTCTCTTCTGCAAACCAGACCTTGCCCTCTTTGTGTTCACCTCTTCCAGGGCCTCACAGTTGATCCTAATGTCCTCAGGACTTATGAACCCAGAGCCTATGCCTGTTTGTTTTGAAGCAAAATGGTACCTGGAAGAACAGAACCACCTCAGACATGGTTGGAACTTAAAGGTTTTAAGCCCAAAATCTTCTTAGAGGTACACGCACAGTTTAACATCAACTGTCCTTTTCTAATCAACATTAATCAAGAGAATGAAGAATGCGCACAACATATTCTCTGCTTGGGAACTTAACAGATTCAGTAAACAGCATAGCAAGTCAAGCCTTTTATAAATTAGGGTGACAATTTCTGGGTATATGGCTTGGTGGATAAGACAACTTGCTGTACAAACATGAGGACTTGAATTCCAATCCCCAGCAACCACTTGCAAATGTTAATTTCCGGTCGCTTGTGACCTTGTCCCCAGAATTTCTGGGTGGGAGACAGGTAGTTACCAGGAGCTGACAAGCCAGCTTGCCTAGTCAAATCTACAAGCTTCAGGCTCAGTGAGGGACCCTGTATCCGAGGAAAATGTGAAGAGTGATAGCACAGGAATCTTTACATTCTCCTCTTATGTCTTCTGCAGGTCATACAAACCTGAGCACAGACATGCACAAAACTACAAAGAAAAGGTTAAAGGTACAAGGGCCTCATTTTGCCCAGCATGTTTTTAGGTGTTGACTCTGTGACAAGTTAATAAATGGATATGGTAAACCAAAATACCCTAGGAGTACTAGGCACTAAACGCAATCCATAGTCATGTGATCGTTAGAGTTTTTCATAGTTACTCATACTCAACCTGTAGCATAAAACCCTTAAATCCCCACAATGAGTACAGTCAACTTAGTTATTGCCAGGTCTTCATAATATACTCTTATGTAAATGAAATACATTTTGAAATAGTGCACATAGCAGGATTCTGATTTGCCAGGCACATCCACCCATCAAAATACAAAGAGCTGTTTTCATTTCTCTCTGCTTCCTAAATATGGATGTGTTATACTAGGCTGTCCCCAGCTCCTTCTACCATCCCACCGTGATGAACTCTGCCCTAAACTATGAGTCAAAATAAACTCTCCTGTAGGTTGCTTTTTCAGGGTATTTAATAACAGCAATGAAAAAATAGGTTATAGGTAAATGCTGGCTTAACGTAGAAGTATTTTATTCTAAATGCTGGCTTATGGCAGTAATGTTTTATTCTACAACCAACAGGAAAGCAACTGCAGAGATGATGTGCTTCCAAAGGTCTCTGCATATGTATTCAAGCTTTTTCTCCTTCCCTCACTCATCCTTATTCACTGAACAGAAGCTCTGTGGGGGTATCTATTGCATATCAGGCACACTATCCCAGGACATTTAGGTGCACTGACCATGATCCCTATCCTTTTAAAAAGCTGGAGTCTGTGGGAATGTTACAAAAAGCAAATTGGTACATGATCTGAGGACCAGAATAGAAGGGTGGTTTTACTTATGTGGGGCACAGGAAATGAGTTCCAGGATGAGCTACATCTAAAGACTGCCTGGAAGAAATCCACCATTGGAAGAGGAGGTCATGGAGAGACTCCAAGATGCTGCATTAAGAACAGAGGATGACTGGTGGAGCAGCAGGCAAGGCATAATCAGAGAGGATGCTGGTAGGTCATTTGGCCTTTGACCATCATGCCTTGTAACCCAGGAGCTCCCAAATCTATAACACACAGAAGGTAGGAAGGTGTCCTGACAGGTAACCTGTAATGGATGAAGGGTGGCCTGAAGGTAGGGTGGATCACCGGTGCCCAGTAGGAAGCTGGATGACTCTTCCTAACCATGTGAGAAAGAGCAGACTACTTGCTAGGTAGGTATTTGCTAAGCATCTCCAAGGAATGGAATCTTGGAGAGGTCTTTCTCAGTGAGGGATGGAGGCCAGAGGATGAGAAGCAAGGTCCCCTGCTGGCATTCTTGGGCTTTCATGTGGAAAGCACATTGCAGGAGTTTTCTTACATCGATCTTGGAAGTCTTGCAGAAAGCTCCCACAGGGTGAACATGGTCATAGAGGATGATGACGCCTACCATCACCCTCATGCAGAACATCAGTGTCTCCTCACTTGTAAACCTGCTCCTGTACTCCCTAAAAGAGAAGACACAGCCATGGCATCACTACCTTGTTGAAACATGTGCATTCTGAGATCTGCAACTGGCTAGTCCTCCACCTCCCACCCCCAACTCCCCCACCCCCACCCCAGAGGATTCATCCAGGACTTGCAACAACCAGGTTAATATGCTCTTGAAAAGACCCAAGATGATAATTTCCCTTGAATCTATCCAACCAGCAATTCAGTGCAAAAATAAGGTAAATTAGAGGGCAGTAAATTCCCTTCGCTGCTTCCCTTCAGCAGCTAGCTCACCATGTACATCAACTCTTGCCCATCAATCTTGAATATTTTATAGCCAGCCCCTCTGGCTGTCCAAGATTATAGAGAATAATGGCTTCATTACAGAGAAAAAGAATCAGCCTCATTTCTACACTGCGGCTCTCTCGTATCCAGCTGGAGTCACCTCCTTTGTTAAGAAACAGGCTGTGGAAGAACTTGGACTGGCAGATATCTCAAAGAAATTATGTACCTGGGAGTTATTTGTGGAGTTTAAATTTTGCCCACTTACCTTGATAGGGGCCCTGATGATTGCAATAATTTAGGCCAATGCTAGAGACGTTTCTAGCATCAGTTTCATTATGAATTGGCCCCACAATGCTGACAATTACTATTTCTGTCTTGAAATAAATCTTAACTTTGATATGAAGGAAATATTTAAAATTAATATCCTTTTACAGGGCAGGAGAGATGGTTCACTGGGTAAGCACTTGCCTCACACAAAGAGAGGGACTGAGTTTGGATCCCTAGCGTCCATCTATATGCGAGGCAGGCATGGTGGCTGTGCTGGCTAGTTTGTCAACTTGAAAGAAGCTAGAATCACTGCAGAAGAGAAAGTCTCAACTGAGAAAAGATGTGCCCATAAGATTGCACTGTAGGCAAGCCTGTAGGGATTTTCTTAATTAGTGATTGATGGGGGAGGACTCAGCCTATTGTGGGTGGGACCATCTCTGGGAATGTGGTCCTGGGTTCCTTAAGAATTCAGACAGAGCAAGCCATGGGGAGCAAACCAGTAAGCAGCACCCCTCTATGGCTTCTGCATTAGGTCTTGTCTCCATCTCACAACCTTGCTAGAGTTTCTGACTTTTTCCACCAATGGACTACAATACAGAAGTAAGTGTAAGCCAAATAAACTCTTCCCCCCACCCCCCAACTTGCTATTGGTGTTTCATCCCAGCAATAGTAACCCTGACTAAGACAGTGGCCCAGCTCCAATCCCAGCTCGTGGGAGGCAGAGATAGAGTATGCCTGCAGCCAGCTGACTAGCCAGCCTAGTCCCACCAGCCAAATCTGGGCTCAAGAGAAAGTCACTGCCTCGATATAAATGTCAAAAAGCAATCAAGGAAGACACCTTGAAGCATCTGGCTTACACACACAAACACACACACACAGACACACACACACACACACCCATTTACTACATGTACCTGAACACACAAGTGCATATGCATCTGCAAACACAAACACATGTGGGCCTTCACACACATGTGAATACGAATACACATGAACACCACACACACACACACATACACGTGTAAACATAGAAAAGGATTTAAAAAATCATTTTATATTTGAAGACAGTCAGCTTTTCTAAGGTGCTTGTGACACTTTTGGGTTCCTGAACACTCTAGAGAACAGATGGTATTATGGGGACTTTAGTGGAGGCAGAATAGAAAGAAGGTCCAGAGAAGCCAGGTGGTTCATTCACAGTCACAGTGAGGAGGGAGGACTACGTGCGGCTCCAACCTTCCCCCATCACTGTGTGTGTCATCCTTAATGACCTCAGCCATCTCTGACATTCATTATCTGGCAACCAGTTTAGGAATAAAGAAACAAAGAACGAAGAGGTGTGTGTGTGGGATTACTTTTGCAACAGTCTTATCATTTACTACCCTAGGTTCTAAATCTCTACAGTATGTCGACAGTAATGCTCACACATCTAGCCCATCTCTCCATTTCTTTGCAAGTCTTATAGCACGAGACAGGCTGTAAAAACTGTGTGACGTCAATCAACCCATCAGGGCCTCAGCTATTTCAGTGGTGAGATGGTTAGAACATTGACATGGACCACCCTGACTTTCTTATGAAACCGAAGCAAACACTGTACATGGAAACTTTACTATGACATCTGAAAGGGGACACGCCCCCGTCATCACATCCAAACAGGTCCCAGCTGGGTGAACACTCAGCCGTGCTCACACTTCTGGTTTCACTTACGGTGTCTCCAGCATGACTTTACAGACGCTTGTCATCGTACTGAGGCAGTCTGTGGTGTTCTCTATTGGCAGGGTTTTATTCTAAATGGAGAGACAGAAACACACATTAGCCTTACGGGCAGCACGTTTGCAAGGCGAAGAAAAGGCACACACGCTGCACTTACTTCTGAGACAAAGTGCATGGTGGCATTGCTAAGAGTCTTCAGCATCGGCGTGGCTTCTGCATAGAAGAGGGACATTCGGTTGGCCATCTCATTATTAACTTCATTCTCAATGTCTAGCTGATGAAAACAAGAGAAGATACATTTATAAAAAGAAAGTCACCAAGTCGCCGTCTCTGCACACAAGTTACAGGCAAGGACTCTGCCTCCACTCTGCGCCCTGCCAGATGCAGAAGTCAAAGCAGCCACAGAAAGATCATGGCCCCAGCCAGGGACACTCAGGGACTCACATGCATGTTGTTGATTCGGTTGCGACTTATTGTTCTTCTGTAGTAACTAAAGTCATTCTGAATAGCTGGGTTCCTCATCTGAAATCCAAGAGAGATGAAAGAAGGTGAGCTCCCAGAAACAGGGAGGGACACCAGAAGCTCACGAGACATGAGACGACATGAGATGAGAGCTTGTAAACATGACAGGATTCTCTTTGTCATCCAAAAGCTGGAGCAACCGTTAAAAAATAAGAGTCTAGAACTCCAGCGCTCTGAAATATGTCCTCTTCTCACTGCGGGCTGTATTTCAGGGAAAGTATGTTTTCCCAGTGAGAAAATGACACCTAACAAGGGCTTTCTCTCCACTCACTTGACAGATTCCAAATTTCCACGTGGAAGGCATCCTCTTAGATTGCTCTGACAGCCACATTATAAGCCTCCTTGGGGAAGGTGTTACATTCTATTCTCCCAGCCCCACTCCACAGCCTTGGCAGGAGAACCATAAAGCAGCGGTACCCAGTTCAACTTTCACAGCACGTGTGTGGCCTGACCTTCAGCTCATCGAATCGAAGGGTAAAATGTAAGATTTCTGCAAATTCCTTTGCCAGGGCTTGCTCCCGTTCCAGATGTTGGGTTGGTGTATAGGGCGGACAGGTCAGAGATTCCAACAAACTCTGAAGTGCTTTTTCTAGAACCGAGGGGAGAAAGAGACAGAGACATATTTCAGGCGGACCAGAGACATCCTTTAAAAGCACAGTGCTGAGCTCAAGTTGACATTCAAGTTCCCACTCTTATGATTCCTAAGCTCAGGTCACTCAGGAATGTCAATCCCTGAGCCTTTTAGAAAGGCAGGACCAATTTCCTCTATGTAAACAGCTAAACAGACAGTGAAAGTAACAATAAAGGGTGAATAGATACCTCTAGTGGTGACCTGGCAGAAAGTAGGTTTCTATGAGTCCATTTTACTCTTTTTCTGTATGTTGTATGGTTTTATAAAATGCAGCTTATGAACACTAGTAAACAAAAATAAAGTGGAAAAAATGATCTAAAAACAAAAAGAAAAGAAAAAGAAAGAAAGCCTGGACTATGTGTATGGAGTTTGAATGTGTGAGAGCCACTAATGATGCAAGGTGAGATGAGTCGGCAGAGGAGAAGGCACCGTCAGTAAAATGTCTGCTGTGCAAACCTGAGGACCTAAATTATACCTGTGGCACCCACAAAAGTTCCCCGGGTGCTGAGGTACAGGCATGTAACTCCTTTGGAGATGGGCACAAGGATAGAGGCAGAAGAGTCTGAGCCGCTGGGGCCAGGCAGTTCAGCGAGCTAGCGAGCAACAGAGGAAGACACCAATGTCAGTCTCTGGCATCCACACACATATGTAAGAGCCACAAACACATGGGGTAAGTCTCTTGTTTAACATGATGAGAATTATAGTTTTCTTCTAGTGTATTTCTTTGTTTTCATTCCCGTCCCCTGGATATTTCTCTACAAATCTACCACTGTAGTTATCCTAGTTATTGTTCTTACAATAATCTCATGCCTCCCATTTGCCTATTTCTAATCATTCTCCACATTTTGCTTATATATATATGAACAGCAGAGTCCTTTGACTAATCTATAGTTTGATAAACTATGACCCATAGGCCAAATCTGTCCCACTGCTTGTTTTTATAAATAAAGTTTTATTTAAAAGGTGATATGCTTAATCCCTCTTGTATTGACTAGGGCTACATTGGTGTTGGTACTCTGATGGTGAAACTGAGTTACCGAAAAGATAGGACAGGTCACAAGATGCAAGTGTTTACTGTCTAGCACATTACAGGAAAATTTGACACCACTGTCTTTATGTAGTCCTCATTTGTCTTTAGCATCTTTATCAGGAATGCCTCTAGACTTATTAGGGATCCCCACCAAGGGGAACACACTATCTTTAGAGGCAGCAGGTTTACCATAGCTTGCTTTTAATGGATGCATCTTTTTCTTTCTGTTGAGGCAGAACTCAGCTCCTTGGAATTTCAGATTACTACATGTAGATACACACTGAGGAAACAAAGAATTTGATTTCTCTTCTACCTGAGAGCGTGAGGCAACCTTTTTTGCTTCTGAAATCTGTTTACACTGGCCTGCTTAGCTGGTCTTAACATCAGTCCTGGTTTTAACCTTGGTTTTTCTCTTAAAATTTGGCACTTGGTCTTAGTGGCAAATTAAAGCAGAAGTTGCTGACTACTCTTTCCATTCTATATGTACTCTATCAACAAATGTAGCCCCAAGTATTGGTATTGATTAGACCACACTGTGGGTGTCATGGACCCACTTTGTCAACCTCATTTGCCTCTATCCAAGCTTCTGCAGAGTCATGCTAGTGTAAAAGTAAAAGCTACTATAAAAAGTAAAGCTAAGGTAAAAATGCTAGGTTTATTTTCTTACATTTTATATTCAGTTAATCAAGTTAGTTTTTGGGGGGGGTAGGGAGGAGAAGAAATTGTGGCTTTGGATAAACTCTATCCTACACTTGGTTTTTATTAAGAACTGATACCAGTAGACCAGTGCCTAGCAAAATCATCATCAGAGACTTGATCCACCAACTGATGGGAGCAGATGCAGAGACCCACAGCCAAACATTAGGCAGTGCTGAGACAACCCTATGGAAGAGGGGAGGAAGGATTGTGGGAGCCAGAAGAATCAAGAAGACCATGAGGACACAACCCAGAAAAATCAACTAAGCAGTGCTCATAGGTGCTCACAGAGACTGAAGCCATAGTCATGGAGCCTGCATGAAGTCTACACTATGTCCTCTGCATATATGTTAGGGGTGTGAAACTTGATATTCTTGTGAGACTCCTAAGAGTGGGAGTTGTGGCATCTCTGACTCTCTTGCCTGCTATTGGGACCCTTTACTTCCTACTGGGTTGCCTCATCCAACTTTGATATGAAGCTTTGCACCTAGTCTTATTGTAACTTCTCATGCTGTGTTTGGTTGATATGCCTGTCAGGACTGCTCTTTCTTGAAAGAAAACAAGGGAGGAGTGGATCTGGGGTAGGGCAGGGGAGACTGCAGTTGGTATATAATGTATGCAAGAAGAATAAATTTTAAAAAAATGGAGACCATGGTTGAAATGATGGTTCAGCAGTTAAGAGCACTTGATACTTTTATGGAGGACCAGGGCTTGGCTCCCGGCACCCTCATGGCAGCTCACAACCACCATATCTCCAGTTTCAATGCTCTGACACCCTCTTCTGGCCTCTGAAAGTTCTTTTATGCAAACTGTGCACCTAAACTCACACAGGCATGTGCATGCATGCACATACATAACAATAATAAATAAATATTTAAGAAAAGAGATCAGCAACCTGAAAGAGCTGGTCGCAGATGAACACAATGACAAAATGTCAAGAGACTGTAAGTCAGTAGAGACTCACAATGTGCCAATCAGTAACTTCCAGAGAGAGAAGCAGGCAGTAGAGTAAAGAACACAGGAATGATGGAAGTGGCTTGTGAATGGCCTCATAAGATATCATGGCAGTGGATAACTGTGGGACAGTCTCCAACATGTAGAGCTGTTCCTTCTATGTGTTCAAATGGCACAGGAAAAATCCCATGCAGGACACGAAAACGGCAGGTAAATACTCACCAAGCCGGATGGAAAATTCATAAAATCTCTTCAGCCTCACGACCAGAGGACAGACTGCATTCCAAGCCTTCTCCTGAAGTTGAATGTCATTGGGATTTTGAATTGCCTACAGGAGAAAAAGGGGGAGCGGGGAGGGAGTGTTCTGTTTAAGAGAAATAATAAGCCCACACCAAAGTACCCTAAATGATGTAGTTTTTAAAACTGCAGTCCCTGGTGTGATTTCAGAATTAGAACCACCTCAGTTGACAGTGATTATCTGGACAATTCCCCAAGGAACTCATTTCTGAAGGCAATTTCAACACCTGAGCATAAAGCTAATGGGTCGCCAGTAGATCTTGCCTCATCTAGCTTGATGCTGTATTCTTGGGTAAAAAATACATTAGAGGAAGAGAGGAAGAGCCCTCTCCATGAGCACTTGATTCACCTAAAGACTGTTCATTATGAAGAGTAGAGGCTGTAGCTATTGTGCCTTTTCGGCAATACACATTCCATTCTTGCCAGTCTGCAATAATGCCTATATGTAAGGTGACCTTGAAGTAGAAAAGCCATATCGTAATAGCTTTTTTCCGGCAGCATCCTGACAATAGTGTGTTCTCATGAGGATGGTGGCAGAGGTGAGGTAATTTGAATATGTGTGTGTGTGTGAGAGAGAGAGAGAGAGAGAGAGAGAGAGAGAGAGAGAGGGCAGCAGTGGTGGTGGTGTGTGTGAGATGTACTATGTGGTGTGTGTGATGTGGTATATATGTATGTGTGTGTCATGTGTGTGTGCTGTGGTGTAGTACATGTGTGATGAGAGTGTGTGTGGTGTGTGTGTGATGTGAGTGTGTGTGTATGTGTGTGTGTGTGTGTGTGTAAGGTTTTCCCTTCTCCTCACGTGGTTTAGTCAATTCAGTATTATCATTAACTCACATCTCGGATCTCTGGTCCTGCGCCTTTGTAAGCCTGCAGGTCTGACAGGATGCTCTCAGAATCTTGGAGGACAGCACTGATCTGGTTCCATATCTCTCGCTCTCCTTCTGTAGGCTGGGCATCTAAGTGACAGAGAAACCAAGAGGAACAGAGGCTGGTGTTTACAAACAACTCTCAAAGGCCATAAACAAACCATCACTTCTGCCAGCTAAACAGCCCCTTCACTTCCTGCAGCTTTGGAAGTTACATAACTTTACAAGCTGTTAGGTAAGGAAAAGAAAGGCAACTTCTGCCCATGACTTAGAACAAAGTACCCAACCATCTTTTTACACACATTAAACCTAGAATGATCAAATCACCCTAAGTGTTCATTTGTTCACGTATTTATATAAAATGCTTTTCTGTGCACCTTATGTGTACATTGGGTAACAGGACGAATAAACATTGTTTTTGGAAGCCAAATTCTTTTTAATGACCTTTTCATTGTGTTTATTCTTTTTTAAAAACAATCACTTTCATTGTGGGTAAAATGAATATCATAAAGTGTGCCGCCTTAGCCATTTTTAAGTGTACAGTGCAGTGTTACTGACAAAGTTGTGAATCCTCCCCACCAGGCAGCTCCACAGCTCTCTTGATCCCTTAAAGCCAGAACACTGTATAGGGTATGCTTTTTAACGGTAAAAACTGTGGGGCGTTTCCACTGTCGAAAACCTGCGCACTTGAGTATAGGTGGGAAAAGAAAACCCTTTTGCACATATTTATTTTATTTTAGATATTTACATATTTTATTTATACATATATCTTATAGGTATCTACATCTACATTTTTATACACAAATCATCTTTAAAGATCCCATAATTTGGGGCTGGTGTGATGACTCAGCAGGTAAAGGTACTTGCTGTCAAGCCTAATGACCTGAGTTTGATCCCCAGGACCCTTAGAGTGGATGAAGAGAACCAACTCCTGGAAGTTCTCCTCTGGCCTCCACATTTATGTCATGGCACACCCTCTCCAAAATCAGTGAATGTAGTAAAAATAACAAAAGGTTTGGGTGATTGAACCTTGCGGGCACAGCGGCAGCACAGCACTTCAGAACACCAACATATAGAAAGCACCTAGACATCCCAATACACATTAACACATTCCATGTAAGACTCAAGAAATGAGTAGTCCCCTGGGCAGTCATCAGCATATGAAAACATTCTTAGAAAAAAAAAAAATCCACGCAAGTGGGAGGGGCTGGTTTGGAAGAAGACAAAGTCAACAGGACATGTGCGCAAGAGTTTCTCAACAAAGGTACCCGAGGGAGTTTGTTGTCAAAATGCCTGTTCTGTTTATCTTTGGTCTTGACTCTGTTCCCCACAGAGGTGTGCGCTGTGTTTAGGTTCACATAAAGGAAGGCGGCGTTCTGGTACCCACGAAGTGCTGTTGGAGCTCTCCAGCTGGTTCTCACTCTCTGGCATCTCTGGAGCTCATTCGACTCTTACCCCTAAAGCATTTCAAGGAGGCTGTGGGAGGAGGCCAGCAGGTGGGAAACCTGGGCTGACACTGCCCTCATAATTGCTATGACTCAGTCTAGTTTCTGTAAAACGAGGCCTCTGCTCAGGGAGAGAGGGACAGACATCATGTCTTGTAACTTGATTTCCGGGTATTTAAATCCTGACTGACAGGGTACTGTGAGCAGATTTCACTAACAGAGTGAAAGAGATATCAGTATGATGTCTGACACTCCCCGTAACCAATCCTGATTTCATTTAATCTTCCCACAATACAAAGGGCAGAAAACTCCAAAAGTGTGATGTGTACCAGTCACTAGAGGGACTCTGGGGTGTCAAATATGGATTTACAAGGCAGGTGACGGTAAAGCGAGCACTGTCTGAGTAAGCAGACTGAACACCAGGGGAGAGCTGATATCCAGATAAGCTCAGATAAGCTACAGTCAAACTCCTGAGACATGATGCCCACAGCCAGCTGAGTTTCAGACTAGTTTATTCACCAGGTCCTTCCAAAGACAAATTAGTGGTTTCCATGGAATTTTTTTTAAAAAGGGCAGAAAATCCATAAACTAGGAGAGGACTACTTGGGCAGAACAAGGGGGTTAATGGCAGGGGCGAGGGATAAGAAAAGATAATGGGGTGAATATGACCATAACACACTGTGTGCCCATGTGAAGCTGACACATTAGAAAGAAAGGTGGCACCTAAAAATAAGACAGAAAATTAGAAACCCTCATGGGGTTTCCAGACACTGGGAAAAACCTTTTCTAGAAATGACACAATGTCACCTAGGGAATGGGGGGAGGGGTTACTAGGCTCATGTTGGGTAGAAAATGATAACATGTGGTTGGGGAGGAGTTGGAGAAGTCAGGTGTAGAGAATGGGAGCAGAGGTGGGAGATGGAGGGAGGTACGTCCACAAGGAGGGGGCAGGGCGGCCAAGGGAGTGGTGGCTGGATGATGCAGAAGAGCTGGGCCAGGAGGCGAGGGAGATGGCGGAAAAGAGATCAGAGGCAGACTCAGGAAACCAAGGGGAAACACACAACTGATTAGTTCTCTATCTCTGAATCCTTGATTTTCCACAAATAACGGGTAAGTATTACCAGCAGCAGGGAGGAAAACACAAGAGAAAACAAACAAACACACAATCAAACAAAAACAAAAAAGCAAAAGCCTACAAAGCAAATAAAAATGAGGCACTTGGGAGCTGGAGAGGTGGCTACGTGGTTAAGAGCACTGGTTGCTCTTCCAGAGGACCTGGGTTTGAGTCCCAGCACCTACGCAGTGGCTAATTACCCTCTATAACTCTAGTTCCATGGGATCTGATGCCCTCTTTGGTTTCCTTTGGCACCGCACAGACATGGCACACAGATACACATGCAGTCAAATCAGCCATACACATGAAGTTAAAATACAACGACAAACTACAGAAAAACAAAACAAACAAACAAACAAACAAACCAAGAAGCTTACTTATTCAAATCCAGGAACACCCTGTGTATAAGGCAGACACTTTCCAGATGAGGTATTTAGAGGAAGGACAAGCAAAATAGAGTCTGTGTCCAAAATTCTGAGGGTTGAGACAAGTCAAGAGAGCTACACAACTGTTCGTGAAAGAGGGTTGCCTCAGAAGGCGAGGAGAAGATATGTTGGGTCTCCCCTGTCACATGTTCCCTGAGATGTCACCAAAGAACAGTGTCATTCGAAATAGAATTAAAACTAAATGGGGTAACAGAGAACAGATAAAATCCAAAAAGCATCCTGCTGTTGGGCACTGGACACAAATGGACAGAAAATAGGGGACTTTCTTAAGTGCTTTCAAAATAAACACCTTATGGAATAGCCTTAGAGTAGTATCACAGCTGGAGACAGCCAGCTCCTGCCTCCACAGCAGGTGAAGTGACACTTTCTTATAAAAACTGACACAAACATTTGTGTGTGTGTGTGTGTGACCACAAAGAGTTTGCATGAGTGGCTTGGGGGCGGGGTATCCTTTCTAGGCCATAGGAAGTGGACTTGGGGTGCTGGGTGAGGGTTTTCTACCAGAAGAGCTGGCCTCCTGGCAGCTAGAGGATATGTAAAGCAGTACCTTCAGTCCCCAGCCTCCTTTGGGGAAACTGTTCCCTTTGGCAGCTGTCCTGGGGTCCCATTAGGAATGTTTGTGAAGTCCTGTTTAAGGGGCGGAGTGCAGAAACCCAGTCTGTCACTCCCTTTTTCATCAAGGCTTAGGGGTACGTTGGCTCATTTTCTGCCATAATTTGTTAGTTTCACGAAATGCCTAATTTTTTTTCCCACCTTCCCTGTCACAGAACTGAAGTCATTTCCTCTCCCAGCCAACAGTTAGGCCCCTCATGCCAACCAACAGGCCACCAGGTTTTCTGGGCCAGAATGTGGAATATTCTCCAGAGACTCAAATCCCTGGTGGGGCCAGCTTCCCCGGTGAGAGTGACAGCTGAGAGAACTCTAGCCTTAGGAGTGTCCAAACTTTTGTCATCCTGACAGGTTGTTGTCACCTACAATGCAGTTGAGGCACACTAATAATTATCCTGGGATGTGTACGAGCCATGGCCACGTGCCGCATGTGCCTTTCCTAGAGTCCATCTCATTATGCAATCGGGAGAAGGGCTGTGCAACCCCAACCAACACTTAACATCGTGTCAGACCCTTATGGAGTTTTATGATTCAAAAGAGTCAGAGCTAACTAATGAGAATTTTACCCATTAGAAATAGGATTCTGGCCATATTTGTTTCATTTGATTGCATATTTCCAGTGCCTGGTTAGTATATAGTATATGCTCATGGAAAATGTGCTGAATAGATAGATGAGAGAATGATTTATATGTTTTCATATGTTTTAGGATTTTTTTTTATTTTGAGATAGGGTCTCATGTGTTTCAGGCTAGTCTTGAACTCGAGTTATAGCTAATGATTGTTTTGAATTTCTGATCACCCTACTTCTGCCTCCTAGAGTGTTAAGATTACAGGTGTGTGCCACATACCTGGTAATACTGGATGTGGAACCCAGGTTTTCAGAAATGCTAGTCAAGCACTCTATCAACTGAGTTAAACCGCCCCACTCCCTTCCTGTTTGGGCATGGTCTTTGACTTCTGAGCTTTTGGACATAGGGTTTACATACTTATGTTCAGGACTCTTATGTTAGTACATCTAATGGAGATACTCCATAAGCATGTGGAAACTGGTGAGACAGTGGGGAATCAGCCAGGTCGTGAAATGGGTGCTAAGAAGCACTAGAATAAATATAGTTTTCTCCCCCCAGATTCTGTCCCCAGACACACTGTCACAAGTCTGCCATTAAGACCCCCATATTTACCTGTGACCAAAAAGACTCTCTGTTTCGTCAACGCTTGTGCTTAAATCTCCTATTGCTCATTTGTTCTGTGTGGGAGAATGAAAAGCTGCCAAGGTCAACCCTCTCAGTCCTGTAACTGCCCCCAACCTTGCTTTCTGGGACAACTCTGTGAGAGGACTTGGATACTCTTCCAGCCCTCTCCATATTCAGCCTCAACTGTTGGCCAGATTGTAAAAGTTTAATGAGTTTTCAGATGTCACAAAATGACATCTTGAAAGGGACCCAGAAGAGTTAGTGGTGGGAAAGGTTGCTGTGT